AGGCAGCAGAGGTCTTAGGAGAGAGAATGTTTCTTAGAACATACCATCGACACCTGAAAAGGTGGGGACAGGAAGCAGGCCTGAGCAGATGAAGAAATCGAGCTATAATTCAACGACACAACAGCCTGGCCACCCCCCCATGGGGAGTTCTGGGATTAAAATGGCCCATCTAGCTTGCCTGACATGGGGTCAAAAGGACCTGGCCTTGGATCGCCCTGACTCAGGTGACTCTTGCAGCCAAGGCAATCCCTGAAGGTTTGGACAGAGGTAGCCTGTCTTAGAAGCTCTCCCAACAGCTGGAATGAGTCATTCCAGAAGGTAGTCTGGGCAGCATGTCCCCACATCCATCACACACCACATTGTAGATATTTAAGTACTTTGATAACTTTGATAAGGGTTTGCTTTGTAATCTTATATATTTTATTTTATGCATTTAAAAATATTCTGAGAAAGGGCTTTATCAGACTGCCAAGGGGTTCCATGGCATAAAACAGGTTAAATAACCTCTGATACAAAAGTATACAATGATACTTCCTCTCCAGGCTTGATGATGCCCATCTGGTGATGGGTGACTCAGAAGCTAAGGCAGGAGGATCACAAGTTCAAAACCAGCCTCAGAACTTTGTAAGGCCCTAAGCAACTTAGCAAGACCCTATCTCAAAATAAAAACTAAAAAAGGCAGGGAATGTGGCTCAGTGGTTAAGCACCCCTGGGTTCAATCCCCAGTAAAAACAATGCCAAAAAAAAAAAAGATTCCTTCTCTTTCAGAAACTTCATTGGAAATTTGGCTTTTATCTTTCTCTCCAAATTATCTACCCCTCCCTGCCCTCCAGGGTCTGCCAACATATTTACATGTCAGAATCTCATGATAGACAAATTCAAGGTCTTTTTCTATTTTCCTAGGGAAAGTACATATGGCAGAGACAGATTTCTACCAAATCCTTTCTCCTCTTCTTCCTGGGCCTGCGACTCTCCTACATTCACAGGTCTCCTTTGCAGTTAGGGATGGCCAGGTGTCTAAGTTCTGGCCATGGAGTGTGATCAGATGCCACTGGCAGCCTGTAAGACAGCCAATGTGCTTCCTCCTTCCCTTCTGCCGGCTGGACCTTGCAAACGACTCTGCCTCCACCAAGCAAAAAATAGTAAGGCCCTACAGAGCTGCGGAGCCTCAGGATGGAAGGAGCCTGAGTTCCCTGAAGCTCTCTCCAAGGAGGCTACCCACCACTCTGGAACACCACCCTGGGCTACTAGGGGAGTCATGTTTGAACCATTATATTTTGGGGTCCATTTGTTACAACACTTTAATAGCAGAGGCTCCAAATTCTACAGATCTGGATCTCAGTTCTAACTATATCTGGGACACTATTCAATAAAGGATTTGAAGTCCAGGGAAGGTAATAGATTTGTCTAAGGTCATACAAAATGGCTAAGAATAGGACTCCGCTCTCCTGCTACCTGACCCTTTTTCTTCCCTCTATGGCTATCTGCCTTCTATGGTCCTACAAGTGTTGTGCTGTATGTGACCATGAGGTTTCTATTTCCACAAGAGGGAGCAACAGGGAGGGAGAGAATGCGTTTTTTTCTTGGCCTGCATTAGTGAGCCATTAGCTACCTACAGTGATAAAATTATCTGGAATGAACACTCAGCTCCACATCACATACAGTTCAATGTCAGATCTGTTTAAAGTTGTTCCTAGCATTCATTATCTCCATTTAATACAGGCAAATGTGACCATTGAGTATCGGGGGCTACAGTGTCATCAGGTCTCCATTACACTCCATCTTGAGGGGTGAAAATAAGAACTTTGAATGTGGAAGACGGTTAATTTGTTACAGATTATTTTACGTGCATACAGAAAATAAGTTGAAAAGGAGGATGGAATAAATAACAACCATTTATGATTTAATGAATGCTATGTCAATCACTGTGTAAGAAATCTTGAATGCGTGTACCCACACACACACACAGATTTCTGTATTAGCCAACTTTACTCTTGTAAAAAACAGCTCCCAAAATCTCAGTGGCATATGCAACAAATATTTATTTCTTGTTCACATTATATGTACTTTTCTACCTGAGATCTCAGCTAAATGAGCCATGCTATGCAGACTGCCATTTTGGTGGTGGAAAGAAAGAGTCATATGGTAGAAATTTGCAACACCTCTTAAAGCTTCTGCTTGGACATGCCTACATCACCAGACAGTGATGGACAAGGATGTATAAACCCCCACGCAGAAAAAGGAAACTACTGGGGAAAGTAAAAAAAATATCAAATTTGCAAGACAGATAGTAATTCTACCCCTCTCCTCATTTTCAGAGAGGAAATGAGTAACTTTGCTAAGCTCCTTCTTGAGACTGGAAATACCCTATCCAATTGGGGTGATTAGAGAAGGCTTTGATAAAATTCGGGCTAGGGAGAAGGTTTGAAGGTTAGGTAGGAAGGATATTGGCGGATGGAGAGAAAGAGAGCAGGGACTTTGCAGGCAAAAGGAATTCCAGAGTACAAAGGTGGAGAAGTGTTCTGGTTAAACAACTTCCACTGGCAACAGTGTAGGTGAGAGAAAATCAGAGAGGACAGGGGCTCATGAGGCCAAGGGCTTCAATGCTGGACCAAGGATTTCACTTCACTTAGGAGGCCATGAGAAGCTTTTTGCTATTTGAGCAAGAGTCTGCGTGACATTTTAGTTAGCTTTTATCACTGTGTCCAAAATACCTGACGAGAAACAATGTAGAGCCAGGCACTGTGATGCATGCCTGTAATCCCAGTGACTCAGAAAGCTGAGGCAGAAGGATCACAAGTTTGAGGCCAGCCTCAGCAACTTGTCTTAAAATAAAAATTAAAAGAAAAAAAAGACTAGATTATAGCTCAGTGGTAAAGCACCCCTCGGTTCAACTCCCAGTATCAAAAATAAATAGCAGGGCACGTGGCACACATCTGCAATCCCAGTGGCTCAGGGGGCTGAGGCAAGAGGTCCAAAAGTTCAAAGCCAACCTCAGCAAAGCCAGGCGCTAAGCAACTCAGTGAGACTCTGTCTCTAAATAAACTACAAAATAGGGATGGGTAGGTGGCTCAATGGTCAAGTGCCCCTGAGTTCAATCCCCAATACCCCCCAAATAAATAAACAAATAAATAAATGAACAATTTAAAGGAGGAAGTTTGTTGTGTTCATGGTTTTAGAGATTTGGTCTATGGTCAGTTGACTCCAGAGCTCTGGACCTGAGGTTATGGAGTATACCATGGCAGAAGACCATGGGGCAGAAAGCAGGCTCAGGACATCGCAACCAGGAAACAGAGAGGGCTTTCTGTTTCCTCACCAAAGACAAAATATAAATCTCAAAGCACCCCCGCTCCACAGTGGACAAATTATAAACCTCCAAAGACATTTATTTCCTCCAGCCACACCCTACCTGCCTATAGTTTAATCCCTATCCCTGGATTAATCCACTCATTAGGTGACACATCTCATAATCTGATCTTTCACCTCTGAAAATGCTTGCATCATCTCACACATGAGCTTTTGGCGGACACCACATATCTAAACCATAACACATAATTAAAAGCATCTCTTCTGAAGTCTGATCAAACTAGAGGACACAGATGGCCTAAGAGAGGGAGACATTGAGAGCAAGGAAACCAGTAAGGTCCTACATGGCCAGAACCAACATAGGGGTCTAGAAGCAAGGTAGTGTCAGCTGAAACAACAGCAAGCTCAATTCCAGAAACTCAAACCTGTGGCTCCACCTCCATCACCCATATGAATAAAGCCTTTTTTTTTTTTTTTTTTGCGGTATCTGGGAATTGAACCCAGAGCCTCGCGCATGTGCAAGCATTTTTGATTACTTGCTCTTATGTTATTTTGTAATACACATCTCTCTTTTTTTTTATAATAAAAAGGCCATACAAATTAAGGCCTCAAGATAAGTTCCCCTCTCCGTAGGAGATAACCAACCCCAAGCCCCCAACCCCGCCCCCCCATACTCCCCCATACACGGAGAGTCTCCCACCTCCAGGGCATCAATGGAGATATTAGAAACCCAAGCTAAAGCCAAAGCCCAGGGCCTGGGCGACTGGGAGAACCAGTGTCACTAGTGTTTCAGTCTGAGGCATGTCATCCAGATGACCATCTACAGCAGATACTTAAAAATCCAGATCTCAAGCTTTACTTACAGTGTAAAAAGCGTTTCAACAAACGAGATAAAAATAACCGCGTATGTGAAAATGCTTTGCACGTGTTAAGCATCATTTGAACTTCATCTAATTTAAATTTTTCCTCTAGGGTCATAGTTAAATACATAATAGATGCAAATGTTCCTAACACTGTATTACAACCCAGTTGGCATGCTTTTAGGATTATGTGTTAAGGAAAGAATTCACTTCTGTAATAAGGGAAAAGGTGGGAAACGACGAGTAAGGGAAGCGCCGAAGGGGAAGTGGTCTCCAACCTGGAGGTTTCGGGCACTGGGCTGGGGGAGGCCTCGAGGTGTGGGGTGGACAGAGGAGTCCGCTAGGTGGAAACCCGCCCAGGGGCTCTATAAGATAGAGGACACTGCCCTCGGCTGACAGAAAGGAAAGGGACAGCAGACCCTGCGGACCCCGAGGGAGGAGACCCCTCCGACAAGACAAAGGCTGCGTCCACCGGAGACCGAGAGTGCGCGTGCGCCACGCAGCGCGCGTGCGCGCGGCGGTCAGCACCGCGGCCCGAGGCGTGGCGGGAGTAGGACCAAGGAAGGGAAGCGCCGAGAGGAGCCAGCCAGAAGGCGCGGAAGGGCCGAGCGGTAGGGCGCTCGCGCGCGCCCTCTGGCGGCCGGAGGGAAAGGCGCTGGGAAGGCCTTAACTGCCCGCCCCTCCCCTGAGGAGGCTCGCGCTCCCGCTGCTCGCGCCTGCGCCGCCCGCCGGCCTCGGGAACGCGCCCTCTCGCTGGCGCGCGCGCTCGCTGTCACCGCCACCCACCAGCTCCAGCACCCGCAGCCGCGACGCCGCCACCGCCCACCTTCTGCCGCCGCCGCCACAGCCACCCTTTCCTCCACTGTCCTCTTCTGTCCTCGCCTTCTGTCGACCATCAGGTAAGCACCGAGGCTCCGAAATCTGCCTCCGGGTCCCCTCCACTGTATCCCCCGCCGCTGCCCCTTGCCCCAGAGATGGATTTAACGCGCTGGGCATCAGTCCGGGGCCACGGCGGGGGGCCCTCCCTGCGCCATCGGTGCTCCGGGGCTGGGACTAGGGCGGCTTGGAAATGCACGCGTGCAAGGGATGCACGCGCGCGTGTGAGGGCGTATGTCTATGTGTTCGTGTGTGCTGGGGGGTCCTCAAGACTCGCTTCGCGCAAACCACAGGGTGGGGCGCGAATGGCGGTGACCTGGAAGAGGGGGCTGCTCAGCACTCTCGATCTCATCCTTTTGCCGCAATGGGCGTGGGTCTCTGTGTGTGTGTGGCATGGGGCTCAATGACGACCCTCAAAACCGAACCTGAAATCCAATTTCTTTGCTCCTGTTTGCTATCAGCCCTAAGGAAGATATGGATCGGGTTCTAGAAAAGATGATTCCCGACATACCTTTCCCTACGCCCCTACCCCTGGCAGCGATACGATACCCACTGGGCCCTTACTGCCCTTGATTAAGGCGGTGGCTCGCCCCCTCCCCTTTTCCTCCTTCAAAAATCCGCAGGGGACATTTGGGGGTTGGGAGGGATTGGGGAGATGGGGAGGGGTCCAGGCGCTGTCACTTTAGCTGCCCTTCCCCCTGCGCGCGCCTGGTAGCCGAGACGAGACAAGCGCCGTGCCCGAGAAAAGACAGTACATGGATCCCAGTGTGGAAGCTTGAAATGGCAGGGGTCACCTGGCCTTGCGATGTTCGGGAGACTCGGCGGCCACGGCTCCCTGTTCACGGGCGCGCACAGCCGCAGCCCTGCACAGACGGGCGCGGGGGTTGCAGGTGCATTTCGGGGCGGGTTCCTTTCTCTGTGCTCTGAGCCTGGCGCCCCGCGTGTGCGCTCTCTGCCGGAGGCGCGGGGCTGGCGCGTAGGGCTCGCCCCTCACTGCGGCAGTGGGTGTGGACCTGGGTGGGCGAGGAGGGGGAGGGCAGGCTGTGCCTCCTCCCACTCCCACCCTCCTCATTTTTTCCCCCTCCGAACGCGAGGTGCCATCTTTTTGCGGCATGTCACGTCTTTATCGTACCATGCCAAGTCGGGTGGCCGGTTTTCGGAGGACAGGACAGGGACTGGAATTGAAGAAGAGAAGGGCAATGAGCTCTGAAATCTTGACGTTTGGGGTTGCGGGCGTAGGCACTGGGGTCGTTCACTGGGGTCTTTTAAGGGAGCTCGCTGCTTTGTTCTTAGAGGTTAGGTGATCTGCGATCTGCGCTCCCAGCCCTGTTCTTTGCTTTTGCTCTAAGAGGGTACTTAGCTACCCCACCTCCAGCAAGTCCCCTATTTTTTCACCCCTAATTTCTGACCCTTTTGTTGAATCTAGGGATTTGCTTGGATCGATGAACTCGAGTCACAGCCTGCAGGGCACGCACAGAACGGGCGTGACTCGGAGCAGCCCCCTCCCGGAATTCCGCCCAGCGCCAGGAGGCGTCAGTCGGGCCAAAGGGGTGGGATTTGAGGTCTTGGCGCGCGGGGCGGGTAGCCAGAGAAGGACCACAAGCCCCCCTACATCCCTAGCTCCCTAGAGGCTGCACCCCACCAGGTTTCCAGCTAGGGGCGCTGATCACACCCACGGATGGGAGGAGATCGCAGATGGCCCCTCCCTCCTTTACTCCCAGTTGCTTGCCCAGCGGGAGGAAGTGAGGAGGGGCCTGGAGGTTCCCTCAGGTGCTGCGGCCACACCCATCTTTCCGAGCCCACTGGGAGGTGGGCAGCTTGTGGGGGTTGCCGTGGGAACCACAGGCGTCCGGAGGAGGAACCTCGTTACATTGCCCCGCCCCCTTGCCCTAGGATATTGAGGACCTTGGGGTAAGGCTGCCTAGCCGGGTTGGCCTCCCGGCGGCAAAAGAAGGAGACCCGAGGCCTGACCTGTGGCTCATTTAATAGGTCCGTCGGCCACAACTACCTAGATAGGCGTCCTTGGTGTATTTTTATTATTATGAGCGTGCTAATTAGTATTATTTCATTAATGTTATTTATCTTAGGTGTGGGATTTTTCACTTAAGAGTTGGAGTTCACTGTCACCCTTAAAACCAAGGGGGAGGGGTCTAACTCCCTGCCAACAAGTCCTAGCCTCGCTGTACTGCGGTGAGCTGGGTCCACGAGGTTTTCTGGTTAATTCTATCGCGAAACACTGGTGCGGGGGCGCAGTTCTGAGACGGACGAGCACCTTTTGAGGCCGATAGCTCACGCGGGCTGCCTAGATTGTTCTGAATTTCTGGGGAGTGTCTTGGCTCTGGTGAAGAGCCCTCTCCGGGTCAGCTGTGGCCTCGGGGAGCCCAGCCAGCCGCGGGAGGGTTTCGGAAGTGACTGAAGGATCCATTCAAACCTCTTCCAACCGTCGCCCTCCGACAGAGCCCGGCATAGAATTCCCATCCCAGACGGAGGAGGGAGGATCTTGCTCCCGCCCTGGAAGAGGGAAGCGTGCGAACAAGGCTGCCCATTGCAGACTCTGGGGCAGAGATATCACCTGTCCGTTAGGAGAGACCGGTGGGAGCGAGAGCATTTACCCCAATGCAGGAACAAAGCACAGGCCATGCTTCTGTTATTTTGCTCCATTTTGAAATGCGTTGAAGCTTTACTGGGACGCTCGGGTCAGCAAGGCCGGGGGTCTATTAATGGAAGAACCTCAGGGATAGCGGGTGGCCCTTGGAATGACGATTGGGAATCTCATTCCTGGCTCTGCGCGTGCTTTTACCCTAGGGCTCCACCCCAGGAGCTGGAAGGATGCAGCCTTTGAGCTTATGTCCCGATAGTGGAGCAGCACATCGGGAACTGTCCAGGCATCCGATCCCTCTGAGGGCTACCGAGCGCGCGCATGCGCGCGTGCACTAAGCCTCGCGCAGTACCCAGCAGTCGGGGGTGCTCTTTTACGTCCGGTGACACCCCACTCACCCTCTGGCGCTGCGGAAACTGTAACTCCAAGTCCTGGTTTCCAGCTGGTTTGGATTGGAATGAATGATGGTGTCTGGGACAGCGACTACCCGTGGCCTCTCCAGACTGCCGCACACTCAGGCTCCAGACTCAGCAGCACAGCTTTGAGTTCTCTGTGGTCCCTGACTCGCCCCCTCAACTAACCCATCTTACAGCAAAAAAGGAAATGGCTTTCCTGTCCGTAGTTGATTCTGTGACGTCATGTTGTGTTTAATGATATTCCTTGTGTTTACCACATATGAATGGCTTCTCTGTTTCCCATCTCCAAACCCTCTAAATAAATAGATAGATATAGATGATTTAGTGCAGCACCATCCTCCCCCAGCTCCTGTCTCTTGAAGCTAATTCATTCCTTGACCAGTTTGCTTTCCCTAGCTCATGTGTTTACAGCAGTAACTTGGCTTGGCTTTGGAGTGCACCTTTGGACGGTTTGGGGGCGGGGTTTGTTGGCTTTGCTGTTTTTTTGGATGAGTGACAATGTCCCTGCCCTGCACAGACCTTGTTTGCACACACCCATGGTGGAAGGGTGTGGCTTTTAAGTGACTTCTAGTGTCAGCCACTCACTGCTCCCCCAACAGGAACAAAGGAAATGGATAATGCCTACCAATTGCAAGAAACTAGAATGGGTTTGAGGAGGGATCAGATTTATTCCCAAGAGGAAAATAATCCTTTCAATTGAACATGGCCTTTGACCCACATGCCCTTGGAAGTCAAGACCAGCCTGGAGATGTGATAGGGCCCTGGTGCCCTTTGTTTATGCTGACTTTTCCTTCAGCCTTTTAAACTTTAGTTCATGCAGGTCATTTGTTGGAAAATTTAAGAAATTTTATTCCATCTTCCCTCAGCACTGTGGATATGGTTTGAGTATCCCTGAGTGTGGATATGAATATGTGCTATTTTCCAATTGGATGGGATAATTTTCCAACTGAATCTTGCATTCTAATATTTAGTTAATATCTTCCTTACTTCCCCTTTGAAAAATAATCACTCCAAAACAAAACAAAAACCACCCTTAGGGTCCTACAGCAGACATGCATAGCAGACATATGATAGATATCTTGTCCATACTCATTTAAAATCATCCTAGATGGAGAAATGGAGATCACGATGGTGGCAAAGAAAGTAGATTGGGAAGGCATATGTGCTTTAGTTGTGGTCACAGTATTGGGAAGGTGTTGGGATACATTCTATGCAGTTTGTCCTGGCTCTGTGTCTAAATGACACCCAAACAGCTGCCTGAGCCCCTAGTACACCTCCTTGCCCTCTCTTCCTCTGCTTCAGAGAAGACACACTTCTCCTGCCTGCCAATTTTGGGGTAGAGGTGCTCCTTCTGCAGGAGGTCAAGGCGGTAGAGGTGGGGACCCCACTCCCTCTGCTCCTTCCTGTACCTCAGCCCTGCTTTTTTCATTATTCACTTCAGAGATTTCTCGCTCTTCCACACCCCCAGAAGCACTTAGCTGCCCACTGCTCACTTGCCATGCATAGGAGTTAGGTGCTTCCACTAGTGACATGGAGCTGGCATTGGGGACTCCTCTGCAGATGAGGGAAAGAAAAGACTCCAACTCCACCAGCTAGGCTGCAGCAGGCAGTGGAACCGTGATGTTCCATTGGGGACTCTTGGCTGTTTCCCTATAAAACAGTGGTTCTCTGCTGGGACAACTGAGCTGTTGAAAGAGATTTTTTATTTTCACAGCTGGGGAGGGTGCTACTGGCCTCTCATGAGCAGAGGCCAGGGATGCTGCTAAACATCTTCAAGGCACAGGATGGCCCCCTAGACCAAAAAATGATCCCAAATATCATTACTGCCCTGGTAGAGAAGCCCTGCTCTAGAGAGTTACCCTGGCACTATTATCTCAGTTACATTCATTGCCTTCTAGGAAGCTCCAGGTGTTGCTGGAGGTGATCTCATTTAGTCCTCACAACCATGCCCCTGAGTAGTGGGTACTGTTATTATATCTGTTGCAGGCAGAGACACTGAAGCCCAGAG